GCTGGACACGGGGTCTGAGCCCAGGGGGGCTGTGCCCGAGCACAGGACGAGCTCCCTGGGGATGTTTCCACCCCAGCAGCACTCTGACAGAACTGCCTTGGTGCTCTGAGACTTTCACCCCATCATGACGACATTCAAATGAGGAGTTTTCGATCACAGAAACGTTTTGTCACGTAGGACTCTGATCACAGCGCTCCCGGCCGAGGCCCAGCTCAGAGCCAGGACAGTTTGCTCCCACCACGACAGCAAATCAAATTTACTTTCTAATCTGGACCGAGAAATAAACCAGTTTATTGGGCCAAGCCATTAGTTTAGAGGATTGTCTGTCAGTGGCTTAAAATGCAGCAAATTCTCCTTCTGTAAATGGAATATTCTCCTCCGTGCACATATTTTTTAGCTCTATTTTTGGCTGCAAATAGCTCAGTTTCTAATTACATTGGTGGGCAAAATTGGCCGTTCTGGTCTCTCAGGTACCAACATTTCCCCTTCCCCCCTTTCTTAATCACACCTAAAACCCCCACCCTCCACCAGCACTGCCCCAGTGCTGCCACAGCATCTCCTGGGCTGACAAAACGAGCTTTGGTTTGGTTTTGGTCTAATTACATATTTCCCCCCAGAGACAGGAGGAGCTCAGAAGAAGCTGTTTCAGTCTCCTGGGTAAATATTGGATGTTTTATGTGCTTTCACCAAAGATTTTTTTTCTTATTTCTGCTTTTAAAAGACACAGAATGAGTTGAAAAGGGAAAAACCCCACAACTATGTTATAAGCCAGGAAAGTCAAAATTAAAGCCACTCTGTCCTTAATGTACTGCTGCTTCTTTCTTATTTACTCAAGAGTAAGTAAGAAAGGTGGTTGTGAGCTCTCAATCAATACCCTTTAAATATTGAATAAACTATGGGGCAATGATTACAATCAGCCCAAGGATCTTGCATTAATTCCCATCTTAGTTGCTGCAAAGGGAAGGAGGCCCAGCTGGCAAATCCACAGGGACTTCCAGCAGCTTCCAGTCACCCCAGTTCCCTGGAGACCACACCAGGGCTTCCTCCAGTGCTCCCTTCCCTCTGGGATTGCCCCTGGCAAAGGCAAATGCACAGCACCACCTTCCCAGTCCTGGCCATGCATCCCTTTGGAGCCTCTCCTGGAGCTGGCAGCAGGCAGAGCAGCCTTTGGAGATCTGGGAACAACCACAGGGAAAAATATCCCTGTGGGTCCACCCGGAAACCTTCTTCTCACCCCCAGCTCAGGTGAGAGAACAGAGCTTAAAAAAAGCTTCAACCTGAGCAGTGGACCCAGAAACTGCTGCCTGTGCTATTGTAAGAGCTGGATTCATCCAGCTGTGGGATGTTTGACGTGGATCTTCTGTGAGAGGGACCTCAGACAACACCCAGGGTTACCTGTCAGCCACAACCAGCTCCAGGAACCCGCCCAGCCCCACAGGGGCTCCTGCAGGGAGCTCCGAGTGCACTGTGGAAAGGAAAAACATCATTCCCAGTCCTGTCAGCTCCCCAGAATCCCAACTCTACCTTGTCAGCAGCTGCCAGCAAGTCATCAGCCATTTTGTCAAGATTTGGTGCCTTCCCAGTATAAATAAAACACATCATTTCCTTAAAAACTTCCGGCTCCACATCATTGATTTCAACCCGATTCTGCAACAGGAAAACGAAGTTTATTAAGATCCTGCCAGGGCTTCCTTCTCCCCCAAACTCCTTCAGGATTCAGAGGCAAACTGTTCAGAATGAGCAGTGCAAAAAAAGAAACAGAAAAAGAAAAGAAAAGATGTGGATGGAGTAAGAAAAATTCTGAGTTGTATTTCACCTTCTCTACTTCTCCCTGTCCCACCCCAGACTCTTTCCCAAGAGGAACAAAGGTACAATTCCTCCTTGATCCCTGTCTTCCTCCCTTCAGGGCAGCTGAAGCAGAGAGGTGCATCTAATGTGAGAAAGACAGTTAAAAGGTGACCAAAATCACAAACACAAGGGAAGTTCTCCGAGCAGGAGCTGACTGGAGAGCCATTCTGCAGCTGGAGAGGTTCTCCTCCCCTCAGGGTCTCTTACCTTTTTACTCTCCTCCATCTCGTGCTCAAACATGGCGCTGAACACTGGGGAACGCGCTGTGAGGGAAAACAAAGCACAGTTGGAAAGGCTCCTCTGGCCTCAGGAGGGGCTGAGCCTGGCTCAGCAACACCTCAGCAACTGAGAAACTCTCCCCATGGCCTGGGGCTGCCAGAGCTTCCAGCTGGGGAGGGGAGGAGTTACATCCTTCCAGCAAGGCTGGAGAGTCCCGGGGTGGGAAGGTGTGTTTCTTGGCTTGGCAGGAAAGTATTCCTTGGAAATGAGCTAAGTTCTCCTTACAAATGCTTTAGGAATATTTTAGAGTACCCTACAGCCACAAAAAACGCTCCCACTGTCCTTGTCAAAGGAGCAGACAGGCAATTACAAACCAAGTGGGGACTTCCTCTCCACCTGGAACAGCTCACAAACCACTCTGGTACCACAGCTCTTTGATAAAGGAGCTGCAGGAGCCTCCTTTAAAGATGAAAGAACTCCAAAAACCCCACTGCCCATCAGGTTGTTGGCTCCTGCTCTGCTAAGAACTCCGGCTCCCACAGAGTTAAAATCCATCTCGTTGCCTGTTTCCTGATTTCTGTGTTTTATGGAACAGAACATGAGTAGTGACGGGGCAGGACAAGGGACAGGGGGTTCCCACTGCCAGAGGGCAGGGGTGGATGGGATATTGGGAAGGAATTCTTCCCTATGTGGGCCCTGGCCCAGGGTGCCCAGAGGAGCTGTGGCTGCCCCAGCCCTGGAGTGTCCAAGGCCAGGCTGGAGCACCCTGGGCCAGTGGAAGGTGTCCCTGCCCGTGGCAGGGGGTGGCTGAGCTTTAAGTTCCCTTCCATCCCAACCCCTCCCACGATTGCAGGGCCAAACACCCACCTGCCAGGATGGCTTTGTGCCCCTTGAACTCCTGGCCTGCCACGCAGAGGCAGCAGTCCGTGAACCGCGAGTTCTCCCAGAGCCCGCCCAGCTCGTCGGCCAGGCGGCACTCGGGCACCTTCACCATGTTCATGGTGTTCTGGCCAGAGATGTTCACTGAGTCCTGCACCACACTCACCTGCAGGGGAGGCAAAGGCAAAAACACCCTCAAAGACACACATGGAAAGAGGGCTCTCCCTCCAGGAGGGGTTTGTGGCCAGGGAGACGCAGAGCAAACCCCAGCACGGTCACTGCAGGGTTAAAATCGTGCCCGTTTTTCAAGCACCTTTGCTCCTCTGTTCAGAGATCCCTGCACCACAGTGTCCATCCCAAATCCTAAATGCCACCAGCAGGTTTCCTTCTCAACCCCAAACCAACAGCTGAGCCCTAACTTTGTCAGACGGTTTCCTAACGAAGCAGAACCTTATTTTCCTGCTTTTCCAGACACCACACCTGACCTAGTTTTCCCCTTCTAGCAACACTGTGAAACCCTCCCCAATCAATAATGCAACAGACAACAGGCCACATGAAAATGAAGTACACACAGAGTTTTTATAACCCAGCACAGGAGCCACAAGGGCAGTGGCTGACTCCTGAAATGTCCTCCTGCTTCTCCTTCTGCACCTCGGCAGTTCAGTGCTCCTGTCACGCCATAAAATACAATTAAAACCCACCTAAACAGCAAGTTTAAGAAAAAAGAAAAAGAAAATCCAGCTTTATGTCAAATAATTAGGAGGATTTGGGGAAGGCAGAGAGATTCCTAATCAGCTGCTCTGAGGCAGGACCAGCGTGGCTGCTGAACCTCCTTCACCGAGGGCCCACTGAGCACCCAACCATTGTCAGGGCTGCAGGAAATCAGGCAGAGCCCAATTAGAAAAGATCAGAGTGACTAATCCAGCCCTGCTGTAGAAAGAATAAAGCAGGGAGATTGACAGGGAAGAGACGTGAGACTATTCCCTGGATTTGCTGGCGAGTCCAAGTTAAATTCCACCTCTATTAATAACCAGTGGCCAAAGAATAATGGACAGCAGAGGAAGTTCCACAGGGTGGAGAAGAAGGAAATCATGAAGTGAGAGGGAGGAAAAGGAAAGGGGAAAACCTGTCAGAACGCACTCCAGCTCCTGAGAAAGCTGCAGGGGGGTTCTGGGGGCACATTTTGTGTAAAACACACGAGACTCACAACCAAACAAGTATCAGATGCCAGAGGACACCACGGACCAGCCACAGCACATGTGGAGGAGTCAAAGTTCCTCACCATGATCTGCATCATCCCCCTGTCCTGTGACATCCACAGCAGCAAAGTGGACTCCAGGATGGGTGAAAACTCATCAGGTGCATTGAAAAGGGAATTCTAAGATGCAGATCCCTTGTTTGGACTTCCAACACGGATCACAGAGCAGCCAAAAAACTGTCTCAAATCCACAAATAAATCCTCTTCATACATGAAATAAAGCCAGTAATTCCATGGCTTTCTACTGGATTCCAGCCTCAGATGTTAAAAGAGAGAAGGATTTGTTTAAGCTGTTTTCAACATCTCAGCAAGGGAACCAACACTACCCAGCTCAGAAAAGAGCTGCTGCCAGAACTTCGGGAACACCTCCCCCTTGGGAGACTGACTGCGAGGATATTTACCTCTGCTGCTGGAATGTAATTTGAGCAGCAAAAAGCAATGCAGTTGGGATATGAACAACCAAGCCCACCTGCAAAACAAGGGCCTGAAAAATCCCCAAACTGACGAGGAAATGAAGTCAGGTCTGAAATGTTTGACAAGGACCATCACTCTCTGGCCCAACAGCATTTCCAGGGAGAATTATCCACGCTCAGCACCGGCCATGAGCAGAGAGCAAAGGGCTTCTTCCTTCCAGCTTCAATAAGGAACCTTGTGGTGTGCAGGAATCACAAATATCTGCACTTGAAAGGCACCTCCACATCCAGTGTTCCCAACTCCTGTGGGAGCTCCTCCATCCAGAGCTGGAAGCACAGATGGAGCAGCATCATTTGGCACCTGTGGCCAGCAGGGAAGGATCAGGAGAGCACATGGTTGGAATGCTAAGAGAGTTATAAACTCAGGGAGAAAAGGGAGAAAGAGGAGAAAAGGGAGGCAGGGAGAAAAAAAAAAACCAAACCAAGGTGCTGGAAGTTCTCAGCAAACTGTTTCCAGACAGCAAAACCTTCTGGTATGAGCGACCTTTGGATTCCTCACAGAACAGATCCCAAGGCCAGGTGCAGCCAAGAGCGAGGTTCCTCCTCCTCCACAACAATCCACACCACTGAAGCCTTGAAGGGAATAATTCAGCAAAGGGTGCAGTGACTTGATCAGGACTAGTTGCCAAGACTACTGTGGATCTGGGGTTTATGCACATTGTGTCTCACAGATTCCCTTCTCAGATGTTGGTTTTTGGGCTCCACCCAACAAGCGTGAGGGGTTTTGGCTCTTTTACCGTGAAGGAAAGAGGAACTGCCAGACCTACAGAGGTGTCACACAGGGCTCTGTCCTGCTCCCCTCCCTTACTGCTCCAAGTGTTCAGGAAGGGCTCCCTCCTTCACGAATAATTCATGTTACTGCTTAAAATACACATCCCTGAGGTGTTTGTTCATTTAAACACGTGCAGCCTTGTAATGGCCAAGCAAAACTGAAAAAAAAAAACCAAACCAAATCCTTGTTGAACAACTTAGATTGAAGCTTCCCTTTCATTCCTGAACAAAAGAAAAGATTCCCATTAAAAAAAAAACAGTGCAGGAGATCCAAAGGGAGAACAACTTGTTCCACCTGTCTTCTGGCAAAAATCACAGCTCCAGGAGGGATTTTGCAGTTAAAAAGACAACGGAAGTAAAACAGAAGGAGCCCTGAAGACATTAAATCAGAGTTTAAATTTGCTCTTTAAGGTTCCTAAACTTAAATGTCTGGTTTTACAAATAGCTGGCCTGAAATAAGTACCAGTGAAATAATAATGCTGTAAGCAGTTGTAGGAAAGTACAAACACAATGAAGGGAAAATTGTGATTACTGTAAAATTCCTTTCTCTTGTATTTTTCCTTTTGTTGGCTGCATGGACACATTTCAGAAAATAAAGAAAACTCTTTTTTATTCAGCAGGCAAGTGACAAACAGGCCAGTCCCCACTACAGAGCTAGTGGTGCTTATTATCCCAAGTGAGCTTCAACTTAGGGAGCACAAACAGATGGATGATAACACCAAACCAGGAGCGGAATGATAATCAAACTTAGCCTGATTCCTATCATCAGCCCAGGTAAAAACCAAACACAAAGTAGCCAGGAAAGAAATGGAAGTGAAGTGGGATGAATCACAGAGAGGACAAAGGCACCAGCCACGCACACACAAATAAAATCCGAGTGTCACACAAACATCCAGCATCGCTCTGACACCTCTGACTCCTTAAAAGCAAGGATGAGAAAGGAGGTCAGGCCTGCCCCCAGCTAATGGAAGTGCTGTGCTTCCCCTGCACAGGCTGCCTTACCTCACAGAACAGAGTGAGTTTGTCATCTGGAAGGAGTCCGTTGGCTTCATCCAGCAGGAAATCTCTCCGGATGAATTTCTTGAAGCCCCAGTCCTTGCCTTGCACGAAGCGATAGGCGCGTTGGCTCTCTGCGGGACAGGGGGCTCAGGCCAGGCTGGGGCAGGCAGAGCTGCAGCACCCGCCCCACAGTGCCCACCCCACAGGACTCACCCCACAGGACTGACCCCACAGCACTGACCCCACAGCACTGACCCCACAGCACCCGCCCCACAGCACCCACCCCACAGCACCCGCCCCACAGCACCCGCCCCACAGGACTCACCCCACAGCACCGACCCCACAGCACCCACCCCACAGGACTCATCCCACAGGACTCATCCCACAGGACTCACCCCACAGGACTCACCCCACAGCACCGACCCCACAGCACCCGCCCCACAGCACCCACTCCACAGCACTGACCCCACAGCACTGACCCCACAGCACTGACCCCACAGGACTCACCCCACAGCACCGACCCCACAGCACCCACCCCACAGGACTCACCCCACAGGACTCACCCCACAGCACTGACCCCACAGCACTGACCCCACAGCACTGACCCAACAGCACCCGCCAACCAGCACCCACCCCCAGCACCCACACCCAAAGCCCCCCCCCACAGGACTCACCCCACAGCACCGACCCCACAGCACCCACCCCACAGTGCCCACCCCACAGGACTCATCCCACAGCACTGACCCCACAGCACTGACCCCACAGGACTCACCCCACAGCACCCACCCCACAGCACCCACCCCACAGGACTCACCCCACAGCACCCACCCCACAGGACTCACCCCACAGCACCCGCCCCACAGCACCCGCCCCACAGCACACTCGGGGTTGTTTTACACCCCCACAGCACACTCGGGGTTGTTTTACACACCCACAGCACACTCGGGGTTGTTTTACACACCCACAGCACACTCGGGGTTGTTTTACACACCCACAGCACACTCGGGGTTGTTTTACACACCCACAGCACACTCGGGGTTGTTTTACACACCCACAGCACACTCGGGGTTGTTTTACACACCCATGGCTTTTGTCTCCTCTCCTTTGGCGTTGAGAATGGAGAACTTGAACTTGGCTCGGACCTCGCTCTTGGGGCAGCTCACCAGCAGCAGGTACAGGGACAGGTAATCCTTGCTCTCCTCATCCAGGCCCTTGGGGTTCACACGCAAACACCTGCAGGGACAGGGCAGCAGCGTTGGCAGCTCCTCTGGAGCTCCAAAGAAAGGGTAGGGCAGAACTGTCCCTGCAAACTGGGCACTGCAGAACTGTCCCTGCAAACTGGGCACTGCAGAACTGTCCCTGCAAACTGGGCACTGCAGAACTGTCCCTGCAAACTGGGCAGCAAACACGTTGTGTTGACACCAACAGCAGGAAATGATGGCTGGGGAAATAAACTGGAGCTGTGTTAAATCTGTATGTCCACATGGATAAAAATATACAGGCAGGAATGTGGGCAACCCAAAAAAACACACGGAAAAGAGCGGGGAGAATGGTTGGGAAAGCAGCCGGGATGGCAACTTTCACAAAAGGGCAACCCAAAAAAAACCCACGGGGAAAAGAGGAGGGAGAATGGTTGGAATTACTGGAAAGCAACCCCCCCCCAAAAAAAACCCCACAGGGAATAGAGCAGGGAGAACAGTTGGAATTACTGAAAAGCAACCCAAAAAAACCCCCACAAGGAACAGAGGGAGTCTGGTTGGAATTACTGAAAAGCACCCTGGATGTCAACTTTCCTAAAAGGAAAGCGAAAGAAATATTAGACTGGAGGCCACGGATTCGAGGAAGTGCAACAAATGCAGAGAAGTGGCAGAGAAAATCCCACAGGAAGCAACTGAAAGGGAAAGGGGGGGTCTGGAAGGTTGGTTTTTACAAAAAACACGACCCCAGGGCAAAAGGGAAACTACTCCTGTGTGAAGAAAAGTGGTAAGTGCAGGAAGAGGCCACTCCTGAGCACTTCCAGGACCTGGAACTTGGCAGAGGATCCACCAAAGCACAAACCAGGCCAGCTGATGGAACAGCTCCCACACACAGGCACCAGAGCCGGCAGATCCAGGTGTTCCAGGAGAGCTGAGCAGCAAAGGTTCCAAAGGTAAGGATTTAACAAGGAGCAGGCCAAGGAAAGCACAGCTCTGCCACCCAAAGGCAGGAACACACACTGTACACAGACACACTGTACACAGACACACAGCAAAGTCTGTGTAAGACACTTCCTAACAGCCCCAAGGGATGAACTCAGGAACTGGGTGTCTGTGGATGTGCTGGGGCCAACAGACACAGCACCCACACCTGAGCAAAGCCCACCCCGAGTTACTGCAAACGACTCGAGAGCTCAGGGAAAAAAAGAAAGGTTTTAAAGGAAAGGAGAAGGCCCAAAATCATGTCATCTTGAAGGAGAGGCAAGGAGGAGTTACAGAACATTGGTACTTCTCTTATCTCCACCTTCTCCCCACATTCACAAAAAGCTGCCATAAGGAGAAAGGTAATTACAGCAATAATGTTGAACTGCAGGATTTAGAGTGCAAGGAAAATTAACCTTTTTTTTTTGGAGTGCAGGGAAAAGTAACTTTTTAACAACGTGGAGTGTTAGGGGCTGGAACTGGGAGGAGGAAGCAGAGCTGGAATACACTGGCTGGGCACCCTCACTGCCTCGTATGGACTTGTCAAGACAAATGTGTTTTTGAGATAAATGTTGTTTTGTGTGGAGCACCAGGGCTTTCTCTCTGTGCACAGCCAAGGAACAAGAACCCACGTGCAGTACAAGGATGGTTTTAAGTATTTCCTCTGTTCCAGAAGCCCAAATTCCAGGCAGGAGTTGCACAACCAGGGGCTCTGTGTCTCACCATTTCAGCTTATCGTTGGCTCCAGATGAGAAGGTCGAGCTCTTGATGACCTCCCCCATCTCCTCCCGGCAGAAGCTGAAGTTGTTGATGGTCCACATGTAGGAGAACTTCACCACCTTGATCTGAGGAGACAGGGAAGAGCAGGTTTAGGGGCATTCCCATCCACCTCCCCATCCTGAAGGCAAAAGCTGCACGGCTGACTGAGTGACCTGGATGAGGAACAACCCCAGGCACAGGGCACTGGGAATGGCTGGCACTGGCACAGGGCACTGGGAATGGCTGGCATGGGGCACTGGGAATGGCTGGCACTGGCACAGGGCACTGGGAATGGCTGGCACGGGGCACGGGGCTGCTCCAACTGCCTCCTCCAGGGCTTTGCCACCAGGCACAGGGAACATTTGGCTGTTGCCAGGGTAGCAACTGCTGTGTGTAACTGCCCTGTGAGTGTGTAACTGAGTGTGTAACTGCCCTGTGAGTGTGTAACTGAGTGTGTAACTGCCCTGTGAGTGTGTAACTGAGTGTGTAACTGCCCTGTGTGTGTGTAACTGCCCCTCCAAAGCAGGACACTCAGCCAGGGCGACACCTCTGAACTCCACATCCCTTCCCACAGGCTCCAATCCTGCTAAGGCGGAACACCTGAGCACAGGTGTGCACTCACCTGGGTGTAGCACAGGCTCTCTGTCCAGGTGTGTAAGGTGTGCACAGGTGTGTTAGGTGTGCACTCACCTGGGTGTAGCCCCAGCTCTCTGTACAGGTGTGTCCAGGTGTGCACTCACCTGGGTGTAGCTCCAGCTCTCTGTACAGGTGTGTAAGGTGTGCACAGGTATGTCCAGGTGTGCACTCACCTGGGTGTAGCACCAGCTCTCTGTACAGGTGTGTAAGGTGTGCACAGGTATGTCCAGGTGTGCACTCACCTGGGTGTAGCTCCAGCTCTCTGTACAGGTGTGTAAGGTGTGCACAGGTATGTCCAGGTGTGCACTCACCTGGGTGTAGCACCAGCTCTCTAGGTAGGTGTGCACAGGTATGTCCAGGGTGCACTCACCTGGGTGTAGCTTTCCCAGTTCTCGTACAGGTGTGTTGTTGTAAGGTGTGCACAGGTCTGTACAGGTGTGCACTCACCTGGTGTAGCTCCAGCTCTCTGTACAGGTGTGTAAGGTGTGCACAGGTATGTCCAGGTGTGCACTCACCTGGGTGTAGCACCAGCTCTCTGTACAGGTGTGTAAGGTGTGCACAGGTATGTCCAGGTGTGCACTCACCTGGGTGTAGCTCCAGCTCTCTGTACAGGTGTGTAAGGTGTGCACAGGTATGTCCAGGTGTGCACTCACCTGGGTGTAGCACCAGCTCTCTGCCACGGGCCCACTGGACATCTCTGCCGGAGGAGGGGGACTCGGCACCCTTGACATCGCCAGTTTGAAGCCTGAACAGTATCCACAACTCAGCAGAAGAAATTGAGACTTGATCCTCACCCTGGGGGTCCACAAAAAGGGAAAAAACACCATGAAACCCAAGAACAAACGGATTTGAAAAATGCGGATTTTAAAGAGGTGGATTTTAAAAACGCTGAGTTAATTTTAAAGCCAACATTTTTAAATGTCCCACAGCCAACCCCACAATCCTGGATGGATCCCCACAGCCAACCCCACAATCCTGGATTCCCGCAGCCAACCCCACAGTCCCAGATTCCCACAGCCAACCCCACAGTCCCAGATTCCCACAGCCAACCCCACAGTCCCAGATTCCCACAGCCAACCCCACAGTCCCAGATTCCCACAGCCAACCCCCCAGGGCTCTGCCACGGATCACAAACGGGGAGGGAAATGGGCAATGATGGGATGCCCAGACTGAAGTCTGAACAGCTGATTCCTGCAGCTGATGGCATTTTAAGCTGCACCTCAATCACCTTACACGTGGCAAAGAAGTTTGAGGTTTCTAAAGGCAAAATAAAAGCTGAGCCTGAGAGACACCGGATCATTGAATATCCACTTTTATACCCCAGCTCCTTCCCTCCCAGACGGCCTGGACAGGCAGGTGGGAACAGAAACCCTGGAGGTGCTGCTGGAATTGTGGAATGTCAGCACATCACCCCATTCTGGCTCCAAAGGTTCCCCATTTTAAAGACTTTTCTATGATTTGGAAAACACTTCCAGCCTGGATTGCCAGAGCTTTCCACAGGTGCTTCACGAGGCAGTTAAACGCAGTTCAAAGGAGATGCTCAGCTCCCCGTGAGGCAATCAAACACCTGTCAGGGAGTGACATCACAGGGAATAAACAGGAATATCCATCACTGCCTCGTGCCAGAATTCCCTGAGAGGAAAAACGAGCTGCTGGCCTTGTTTGGGAACAGGGGAAACACGGCAAAAAAATCACAACTATCTCCTGAAAAGCTGCCTGTGCTGCTCCTCCTTCAGATGCTGAATCACTGCTCGGCCGGCCCAGCAGTCGGGGTGTTTGAGAGGGAACCACAGCCGAGCTGGAGGGTTTGTTTGCTCATGAACACTCCATATTCCCCCAGCTCTCACCTCCTCCCAGACAGCTGGTCAATAATCCGGAGATCACAACTATTTCTGGCCAGAAATATCAACAAAACACCAAATATTATCCTGTGCCCCCCTGCGAGCCCACAACAGCCTCGATATAAACAACAAACACTTCTCCTGGGCACAGTTGGGATTACAGCTCAAACAGAGTCATTCTCACCCCATCCACAACCACTTCCAGAGGAGGACATTTCATCCAAGGACCAGAGCAGCCCTTAGGGAAGCACGGGAAATGTTCCCTTGTCACCTTGTCCTCCCAATTATCTCCTGACTTTACAGCTGGAAACTTCACCCGCTGTTGGAATCCACAGCAAAACCACCCCGGGAGAGCAGAGACTTGACCTCAGAGAGGTGGGGAACATCAGCTCCACAAACAATCCTGAAGAGACCTCGAAATTACCTCACGACGACCTAAGAATTACTTTTGCTAAACAGCCTCACTTTCTACTTCTCCAGGCAAACCAACTCCCCTGCAAGAAACCAGCAGTTCCCCGCAGAAATTTCCAGGTGTATCCACTTTTCAGGGAGTTTTATTCAGCAAACACAACTTGGAGAAGTCTGTAAAGGAAGCAGGTTTTTAATTAAGTGTTTCAAAAACGGAGTGGTTGCTCCTCGGACCAGCAAGGCATCAAAGACGACCCAAGAAGAGCAGGGAGAGAGGAGCAGGACAGAGATAATTGGAGCAATAAAACAAGGAAGCACAGGAAAAGAGCATTATCTTCCTGAATTCTTCAAAGCCTTGGAAAGGGCAGTGGAAGGTGGGAATTCATGAAGAACAAGGGGGGGAAAGGGCAAGTGAACTGAGAGAGGGCAAAGCGGTGCTGTTAAAGCAGGGGATGCATCAAACAAGTTTTCAGATTGAATGTGCACCCTGAACAGCAACCACTCTCCTGCCTGGAATTCCAGGGACATGCAGCATTCCCAGGCCCTGCACCTGCTCGGGGTGGAAGGCAGGTGCCAGTCACTCCCGGGGGCTCAGAGGTTGCCCAAAGCTGCCTAATTATTAACAGGGAGGAGCAGAACGGGCTGCAGGGAGGGAGCAAACAACCTGTTCCCATCAAACCCGGCTCCAGGTTGGACACCAACACTGGGGAGAGGGGGAAGTGACCCAAGGAAAAGCCAGATCTTGAAGGGAATCCTGGATTCCAAAAGGGAAAGGCTGGAAACAAAGAAATGGGAACCAGAAGTCAATCACCTCCTGGAAAAAAACCCAATAAAGGAGTGGCATGAATGGGGTTGAACAGATTTGATGGGCCTGAATTAGATAATTTACACCAAAACGGTGGCTGTGAATGAAGGGTGCACAATTCCCAAACCCAGGAGTGGGCACATCCCACCTCCCTTGCTCTGAAATGCCCCCAAAAGCTCCTCCTTAACCCGTGGGACAGCACAGAAAGTGCTGAGCTGCCAATGCCATCCCGAGCTCCATTCCCAGCCCTCAGGCCCAGGAGAAGGGACTGGAAACCCCCCCAGGCCCAGCCCAGGGATAACAGGAATGACCTGGCAGCCAAGGAGACGCTGGGGCACAATAATGGGATCCTTCAGAGCAAACCAAACTTGGGGGGCATTTTGGAGCTGCTTTGAGCCACCACTCCTGGTTTCACCATATGTTTCCCTCTTCCTTAACTCTTCCTGCTTCCATCTAATCCTCTTGAGATGCTTAAGGCTTAAACCTTCCAAACTGTTCCTCTAATCTTCCTCATAATTTTTTAATGCAGATCATCAGCATGTTAAAAAGAAATGAATCTCTTACTCCTTTTTTTTTCTCCTTCCCCAGTTCTCCACCCCTTTTCCCTCCTGGCAATGCACTGCTGTTCATTTGCCTCCTCTCCCAAGGTAAAATGTTATTTAAACTCGCCAGTTTAGGCCTCAGAGAAACCCTCAGCCTGGCAGGAGATCTCGTTTGGGGAAAGAAAGGTTTGTTATTGCCCAGGAAACTCTTTTTATTTGAGATTCTCCCTCCCAGGCAGAATCATAACAAGGATTTTACGGCCTGGCTTTGTTGGAGGGTAAATGTCACCTGTCACCTGCCATTTGAGCCATTTTTTAAACCTAAACCACTTGTACTTTCACAGTCAGGTTTCAAACGGGATTTCTCGTGGATTTGAGGGTGGTAGACCCCCCAAAATGACCTTTAGCCTGGATTTGGTGCTGGCAGAGCCCCAAACCCGAGGCCCCTTGTGCTCTGGGGTGTCAGACCCCCAAAAACTGAGGTTCCTCATGGCCTTGGTCCCAAAATGACCTTTATCGTGGATTTGATGGTGGCAGATCCCCCAAAAATGAGGTTCCTCATGGAACTGAGAGTGGTAGATCCCCAAAATGACATTTTATCACAGTTTGGGGTGTTGGAGGAGCCCCAAAAATGAGGTTCCTCATGGTCAGGAGTCTTGGTACCCCCCAAAGCCGTGATTGTCAAATAAACCCTCTCTCAGAACCAGCACAGGTTGCTTCTTCCCAACAGAAAACTCACCAAATAAGCTCCTATTTCTGAATAAAGAGGAATTACAAGCACTCTGAGCCTCCTGTCTGCAGCCCATCCTACCAGCAATTCGGGATGGGCAGGGAGAATCCCTCATTTTCTATTTAGTCTTTTCTCTGACCTTATCAGACATCAACGAGGGGAGGAAGGAGAGGAAGGAGATGGGACTCAAATTCCAACCAACCTCCCCCTCCAACCCACCCCCATTTTCCTCCCAGACCAGCAGCTGTGTTTCCTCTGAAGGGCATCACACCAATCTCAGTGACCACAAGTTAATATTCTTACATCAACACAAAATAAAGATCACATCTGACAAAAATCCCTCTGAAAACAATAATGATTATTATTGTAATAATTCACCTACACCCACATTTGAATATCCCAACTGTTCAAAACTGAGACTGTTGGATTAATAAGACAAAGAGTAAAAAAAAAATAAAACACCAATTTTAAATCATACAAGTTGTAAATCTTTACTACTGAGTAATACTGGGACTTTTATCCCACTGGCAGCTCACTGGGATCTCACTTTCCAGAAAAAAGAGCCCTGGAGGGTGATTTCCAAACCTTCTGGCCCCAAACACCCCCAGTGACAGAGTGGGAACAGTCACAAGCTGACAAGAAACCCTGAGTAATTTGTCTCTCTCTTAAATGCAGGAAAAACACCATCCCCTGAATTTCATTTACTGCCCAAAAGTGCTTCTAAGAAATGCAGCAAATGTGGTTTTCAAGCACAGCCTGGTGAGGTTGAACAATTCCAGGAGAAAAAGTGGTGGGGGAATGAAGGCCCCAATAGTGTCTCCCCCCTTGTAAAGCACTATTACAGTTGTACACACAATTATGACCTGATTTATGATTTATGGAACAGATTTCTGTAGCAATGTGGGGAAGGACAGTAATTAAAGCTACACTTAAAAACCTACACATATTCTTAAATGATCTCTTCATCTGATCGAGTCCCACAAGCAAATGTTCACCTGCTCAGCTCTAAATCCAGTGTTTTTCTAGACCATTTTTAAAGTCCACAGTCATAAAAATGAACCTATTCAGTAAATCTGTAACACAGGAAAGCTGAGCTGAGATCTCAACATAAAATTTTCAGCACTATCCTAATTCAGTGCAGGTAGAAGTCACCAGGATCCCACTGGCTCCCACATCCGAGGCCAAAGCAGCCCCTTCCAGGCAGGGACTGGGATGTTCAATCCCTCCCCTGACCCCGACTTTATAACCCTACAGATGTAGGGACAGCTCACAGGACACCACGTTCTGCCTGCAGCCAGGATTCCCAAACAGGAATTCCCAAGGATTTCCCAGGCATTTGCTACAGTTCAGGGTCTTTTCAGCCCTAAAAATGGGGAGGGAAAGAACCCAAACCCAACCCCCCAAATTCCATTTCACCTGTGTTATGGATTTTCTTGAATCCTCAGCTGTGAGACTTCCAGAGTCACTCACTGAATATCCCAATCCACCAGGATCAGCCAGTGCAGCTCCTGGTCCTGCTCAGGGCACCCCAAAATCCCCCCCTGTCCCTCAGAGCATTGTCCAAACCCTCCTGCAGCTCTGGCAGCCTTGGGGCCGTGCCCACTGCCCTGGGGAGCCTGGGCAGTGCCAACCACCCTCTGGGGGAAGAACCTTTCCCAAAATCCATCCTGACCCTCCCCTGGCACAGCTCCAGCCATTCCCTGGGTGCTGTCCCTGCTCACAGGGCTTCCTGAGCAACTCCTTCCTTCCAAACAACCACCACAGGACACTTAACAACAGGAAAACAAGAAAAGACCCTGTAACACATTCACAGATCACCAACAGCCCCTCTGCCTCCTCAAGGCACAGCTCCAATCCCAGCCCAGGCTCCTGCACCACCAGGTGTTCCCAGCCTTGGACACACGTTTTATTCCAGGTCTCTCAGGCACAAGGCACGAGACAGTTCCCAGCAGCAGCTTATTGACAGAGGCTCAAGAAGCAACACTCAACAAAAGGGCTTTGGGCTGGTTTATTTCTGGGTTTGCTTTGGGTTTGGTTGTATTTCCTCAAAACCCCAGCAGTTGGAGGCTGGGGGAGAATCAGCGAGATCTTACATAATATCCATGCAGAGAGCTGAGCCCTGGGAGGGGAGGGATGGGACAGAATCCCAGGGGCTGTTTCCAGGGGGGGGCTCCAGACTCCACCAGTGACACAGCACGAGCTGCTGGTTGTGCAGGAAATCGGGATTCCCCAGCTTGGGGCCCGATCCTGCAGAAACAACCTCTGGGAAGGGGATGGAGCCGATGACTCCAAGTTTCCAGGTCCCCAGGGGGGAAATGCTGAGCACGAGGGGTGCCAAGAGTAGAGCTGGTAAGTCCCTCTCGTTGGAGGCTGGATTGGGATCCCAGAGGAACCACCCTGGGAAACAAACCCTGGGTCTGTGCAGAGGCTGCACTGGAGATTAACCCTGAACCTCCCCCCACCCAGAGAGGAATTCATTGTTTTTAAGATTTATCAGCCCTAATCTAATCTAATCTACTGGCAGAACTGGTGCCTCCTCCATGTCGAAATTAATATCATTTACAAATTAATATCATTTACACAAGAAACAAAGTGGTTTTTAAAGCACTTCCCCGTACTCTGTGCACTCAGTGATGGTCTCACCCCGTGTCACAGTGACCCCTCTTCCACTTCAACCCCCTCCCTGCCCTGGATTTACACCCAAATCCTGGTGGTTTTGGGGAGAAAACAAGTTTTATAACCTCGGTAACTCCATCCAGTAAATCAGGCTGTCAGATCTGAGAGCAGTTTGCATCTGCCAGGCACAGTTTTGTATTACTGTCCTCTGCTGATGCAGTGACAGGATGACACCCTCAGTGTACTTCTGTGCTGCCTTGATCTCAATCCCACCCAAAAAGTACCAAAAAGAAAGGGGCGGGGGGGGAAATCTATTTTTTCCCCTCAGGTCACAACAAAACAAGTGACATAATGAAACCAAATAATTCTGGGCAGCTGCTTAAAAAATGTCACTGAAAAAGAAGTCAAGTTGTATGTTTTACTTAACTAGTTTTCGGGGATCTTTTTAATAAGCGAAGAGTTCTATTTTATAAAGCATAAATAAGTTTAATTCTACAGACTTTTACTGGGTTTCACAACGAGCCACCCCAGACACAACCACTCAGAACTCCAAAGGCAAAGGAAAAAAAATAAAAGGAAATCCCAGAAAAGTGTTTCTTTGCCTCATTGTCAGGACGAACACAAACACAAACACATTTAGCAGCGCCGAGTTCCGGAAAATTGACAACAAGTACCACCACATTCGACTATTTTTCTCCCCCCAAAAACTCCTGTCAGAACAAGCCAATGCCATTTCCCAGGCAGCCTGGAAAACACTCCCGGAGCGCTGGTTTACCTTTCTAACACCGTCAATCCCCACAATGCCCGCAGGAAGCAGGGGCTCTGTGCCCCCCGACCCCCCCGGTGCCACATTCCGCCAAGAAAGCGAATTATGTGCCTTTCCACACCGCAGGATGATGCACCATTTCCTTCCAAACACCACCACAGGCCCGAGACCCGGCTGGGAAGCACCAGCCCCCCCCAGCTCCCACAGGATTTGGGAACGTGCCCCCTCAGCCCCAGCGAGGCCACAGCCTGTCACCCCTCACCCGGCGATGCCGCCCCGATCCTCCCCCCACTCGCGTCCCCTCAGCACCCACTCCCAACCACCCCCTGCCCCTCTCCCCCGGCGCGGGGGTCCCCAGGAATCCCCGCTCCGTGTTTTCCCCCAACTTTTCCCCGCCGCCCCCCGTTCCCTCAGGCCCTGCGCCCCCCCCCAACTCCTTCCCCTCCGCTCTCACCTCCGGGCCCTGGGAGAGGCCCCGCCGCCGCTGCGGCGCTGCTGGGAGGCCGGAGGGGCTCCGGGAGCGCTGTGGGGGCAGGAGCGGAGCGAGGGGACGGCCCGCGGACCCCGCAGCCCCCTCAGGAGACCACCACCGGCAGGGGATCACTATTTGGCAGCATGTCCTCCCCGGCCGGTCCCCGCCGAGCGCGACCCGCGGATCACTATTGCGCAGGTGCCCGCAGCAGCTCAGCGCGCATGCGCGAGGAGGGCCGAGGCGGCGGGGGGGCGGCCCGGCGCTCCCCTCACGGCCGCGCACGCGCAGGGCGCGACTGACGCCGAAGGCCACGCCCACTGCCTTTTATAGACGAGCGGCCCCGTCGCGCGAGACATTTCCTTCCCCCCGCGCATGCGCCGCCCTCCTGCGGCGCCGCTGAGGGCTCACTTTGTGGCAGGCCCTGCTCCTGCCGTGCCTCCTGATGGCTCACTTTGTGGCAGGCCCTGCTCCTGCCGTGCCTCCTGATGGCTCACTTTGTGGCAGGCCCGGCCCCTCCTCTGCTTCCTTTGATGGATCACTTTGTGGCAGGTGCCTCGCGGCCCCGCCCCCCTGCGCCAGTGCGAGGGGAATGGCGTGAGCCGTGTGCCCTGCCCTCACGGCTCTGTGAGGGGGTGTCTGACTGAGGGAATGGCGTGAGCCGTGTGTCCTGCCCTCACGGCTCTGTGAGGGGGTGTCTGACTGAGGGAATGGCGTGAGCCGTGTGCCCTGCCCTCACGGCTCTGTGAGGGGGTGTCTGACTGAGGGAATGGCGTGAGCCCTGTGCCCTGCCCTCACGGCTCTGTGAGGGGGTGTCTGACTGAGGGAATGGCCTGTGCCATCATCCCTTCTCTCATGGCTCCATGAAGGACCATCTGCCTCAGGGAATGGCCTGTGCCATCTCCCCTCCCGGCTCCATGAGGGGGTATCTGAAGGAATGGCCTGTGCCATCGTCCCTTCCCTCCCGGCTCCATGAGGGGGTGCCTGCCTGAGGGAACACCATCTCCCCTTCCCTCCCGTTTCAGTGAAGGACTCCCTGCCCGAGGGAATGTTGCGCTCTTAAGCACGGTATTTATATTAACTTTTTGAGAAAGGGATTATGCAGCAAACACCCTCTCTGCCATGCCGGGGTGTGAACCGAAAGCCTGGGAGAGACCTCAGAGACCTCTGAGCACCTTCGAGAGGGTTGGCAAGGAAATGGGGCCAAGCACGTGGCAGGAGGGTGAGAAACAAAAGTAAAAACAAGAAAGATTTAAATTCCAGATGAGAAACTTGTACACCACCACCACAGATGAGAGAGGTTGCCCAGAGAGGCTTTGCAGTCTCTACTGGAGGTTTTCAAGGTCTGATTAAATAAAGCCCTGAGACACCTTCTCCCCTTTCACAGGTGACCCTGCATCAAGTCCCTCCCAACCCTAATTATCCCGTGATCCCGAGATGTCATCCATGTACAGGTCTTCTCTAATTTGTAAAGGTTTTTAACCAGTGAAGCAAAATTTTCATCATTAGTAGTCCTTAATTATTTACACGTTTGTAGAGAAGCTTATCCTTTCTCTCCTGCCAGTTCCAGCCTCGGGGTGAATTAATACAATTACACGCAAATAACCAAATTAACCAGGCTCCACAGTACATCCCACACTTATTTAAATGAAAAGTGCAGAATATTTCAGTCTCATCCCTCATTCTCTCAGATGAAAAACGCTGTTGCCCTCGGCACATCAGCTCCAGGACGCTGGGCTGCCACTCTCGTCCACTGCTGATTCCCAGTATTGCCTGCTTTATTCCCAACGTTTTCTCCAGCGCCCTGGGTTTTCCTGGCAAGTGCCTCATCCAAGTCATGACCAATCCTTGGACCCTGCTTCATTCCCTCGTTTCCCAAACTGCTGCCCACGGTGACAGAACAGCAGGTACTGCTGCATTGTGATGAAGGAATGCCATAAAACTGCCCCTCCTGAGCTACAGGCTTGGCATTAACATTCCTGTTCTGGCCACACATTTCTCCTAGAGACTTGTTTTCATACCCCTTCCATCACCCTGGGTTTTATGTTCCCACGTAAGCTGTGGATTTTTAGTGATGTGTTTATCCTCTTAGAGCCGAAGTACCAAAGGAAATTACAGCACCAGTTTTAGAGAAAACAAAGAGATTCCCCCTCCCCTCTCGATTCGAGCAGAATCGAGACAGAATAAACAGAAATTCTCCTTTAATTCACCACTGGCCAAGTGTCACTTAGAGGGAGGTCGACTTCTTCTGGAGCTTATGACGTTCTCCTGATCAAAATTCTCTTGTTCACAGGAAGCAGAAAATTAAATGGGGTACCTGCGAAAATGAAGATGGAACTTCACCTCTCCTCCGTATGTAGAAGTTACTGGGGGTCAGTTCTGCCCTCCCTGGTGGCAGGGACAAGAGGAATGTGGTCCCTGCCCTGGGCTGGGTCAGTTCTGGGATAAAGGGCTGGACAATGCCGGGTGCTGAGCCCTGACACCGGGGTGGGATGAGCTGAAGTGAGCAGGTGAGAGCACTGAGTTCTCAGGGGCGTTTGCTCTGGGTGAGACTCTCACCTGAGCCACACGGGTGGGTTTCCCCCTCAGAAGCAGCCCTGAGTGCTGGTGCCCACCGGGGTTGGAGGTGCCACCCTTGCACATCCCGGTTTGATTTCCCTGCAACGCTGATTAAACCCGGGGCTGTGGAGGAGTCGTGTGCAAGAATTTTAACCAGCTCCTGCTTCTTAATATTCAACTTCCTCTTTGGTTTTAATTATTTTGTCCCTGCGTTTTCCCTTTCAATTTACTAAAACTCCAGAAATGTAATTAGGGAGAGGCTGAACCCGGAGAAAGCTGCCAGCCTTTCTACATCATGATTAAATGTATCAGCCGTGCCTTCAGTGAGAGGCTGAGAAACAGGAGGCTCATAATTACCTCCCTGTTATCCAGGAAAGAATCTGCGACACGTAGGGATACAGAGTTATTGAAAATGCAGCACTAATTAAAATCTCATATAGGCTCCCCAGGATCGAGAGGATGAAAACAAGTTATTTCATTATTTCCCGGATTTGCCATCTTTGTTACAAAACCAAACAAACCCTTTCTAAACAAAGCCCATCTCAATCACTGGGGAGACTTAATGAGGCTCTTAGAGATGCAACAGTAACAAACACATTGCAAGGTGCTGATTCCCCTCTCCCGGTACCAGGGAGACCCCCCGAACTCATTTTCCGGCTGTAAAGAGAAGGGAATGTTGTGGCAGAGCCACAACCTGGAACAGAACCGTGGCTGGGTTTGAGGGGCCGGTTTGTTTGAAATTGGAGCCATTAAGGATCCCTGATATTCCAGGCTTTTGTGGTTTAATTGTTAAATCCCAGCCAGCACGCCAAGTGCTGACAGGGTTGGTGAGGAGAGGGAGAGCTGCTGAGATCCTGGGTGCTCCCAACCGTGGCAGTCGGAGCATCCTCCAGGGAAAGGAGCCTGCTCTGAGCTTTGCTTTTCCAACCCTTTTGCTCCAAATTTAATTTGCAACAGAATGGCAAGTTCTGAGCCAGACACTGAGTGGGGCAGCCCCACGGCCCCTTCCCTGGCAATGAAACCTCAGCACTGGGGGGGCAGGAGGGTGAAAATATTGCCCACCTGTGAGATCTTGTACAATGCAGAGGGCTCAGGCAGCTCAGTCACACATACAAACCCAAAGCTGGGCAGCTGGCTGCTCCCAGTCCCAAGGCAGAAATCCAGGAGGGTCTAGGAGGGATACAGGAGATAGGTGGGGTTCACTTGAGCTGGGTTTTACCTCAGGGGGGTTTCACTTCCCCGCTGAGGGGCTGGGATGGATTTCCCAGGGAAGCTGTGGCTGCCCCAGCCCTGGGAGTGTCCAAGGCCAGGTTGGAGCACCCTGGGAGAGCAAAAGGTGTCCCTGCCCATGGCAGGGGTGGCACTGGACGGGCTTTAACGTCCCTTCCCACCTGGTCTAAAATTACAGGTACCTCCATTTTTAGGCCCTTTCTGACCCAAACATTCCCTGGAGTGTTCCAGTTCCAGGCTGTGCCCGTGCTCAGAGCTGTCCCAGCCTGGGCACTTCATCCATCAGCTCCTTCCTGCCTGGCATCTGGATCCAGTGGCACCTGTGTCCCTCCAAACATAAAGGATGAACTTGCTCTGGCACAGCCACCACATCCAGCTTTAAATTCAGTGCAAATCAGCACTTCCATGAGAAAATTCCTGCTGGTGGTCACAGAATCCCAGAATTACTGAGGCTGGAAAAGCCCTCCAAGATGATCCAGCCCCCCCTGTGCCCCATCCCCACCTTGTCCCCCAGCCCAGGGCACTGAGTGCCACATCCAGGGCTGTGACCCCACCACCTCCCTGGGCAGCCCCTGCCAAGGCCTGACAGCCCTTTCCATGGAGAAATCCCTCCTGGTGCTGGGACAGTGCCCTTTCTCACATCCCAACCCCTCAGAGCTCCTGCTATGCACATTTCTCACCCAAATTCACTCTCCTGACTTCGAAACACCACAAAACAACTCTCATTTTTTGCCGTGATCAAAAACTACTTCTCTTTACGAGAAAACAAACATTGCTTAAAAAAACCCATAAATTTGACCTCCTTGAGAAAAAACTCTGACTTGGAGATTTTAATTGCAGGGAATCTGTTCCTTTTTGCTATTTTTACCTGTATTGGAAAAGTATCAAAGCTGATTTTTTTTTTTAGGAGAGGAAATTATACTTTAAAATGCACAATTGTGAGGAAGTGACTCCCCAACGTCTTTGAGTTGGTGCTTTGTTTCTCCCCCTCAGAAGCATCTCCCGCCTTCCCCGATGAGCCTGCTCTTGTTTTTTAGGCTGCTTTGCTTCAGGATGCTTTTGATCCTGCCTTCATTAAAACCTCATCCTGCTGCTCCCCACCAGCCCTAACGGGCTGTGAAATGATTTCCCTTTCTCCGAGGAAGTTGTTAACTCTGGGAGCACCTGCAGGGTGGGGGAGCTCGGAGTGTTGTCAGAAATGCCCAGATTTATCCAAGATCTATCCCAGCCAGCCTTTCCCCCCCAGCAGGACTCAGCTCCTCAGTGTTGTCCCAGCGATCTTCCCGGCTGGAGGGGCGGGAATGGGCTGAGGGTGTCGGTGGCTGCTGGTAATTGGACAAAAGACTTGGAAACTGAGGGTGAGATTCACTCTGCACAACAGAACAGGGGAGTCTGAACGACCATAAAGGGCTCAAGCAGCTGAAACCAAAACAAAACTAAACCAAAAAAAGGGGGGGGGAAGTACAAGCAGCAAATAAAAAATAGGGACCAGTGAAGTGATTTGGTAAAGGGAGACCCTGAAAGTCTGGACCTTCAGGGAGTAACAACAGTTAAGGAAAAGGGTTTTTAAGGTATCCACAAACTAAGAATTATTCATCCCCTCAGCTCTGGGATTCAAAACTAAACCACAGTTTATTATTTCTTATTTCCTGCTGGTGGGAGACAGGAGAGCTCCCTAAATCTGTGCTTTCCACACTGAAATGTTAATATTCATTATTGCACTCAAATATTAACAACTAAAGGTTAATATTGACTGTCAGTTTGTATTTTCTTGTACAAATTCTAGCAAATATCGTGACTTAACTATTGCTGCTCCACAACATCCCAGTTCCAGCATTTCCAGGGCTGCTCTTCCCACTGGGCTGTGCCCACCCTTCCTGTGAGGGGGTGTTTACAGACAATAAAATGAGAGGCTGCATCCTCCCCGGGTTCCCGGGATTTATGGAGCTCACACCTCCCTAAAACACTCACTGGCTGCAGGAGCAGTGAATTCCATCCCAGGTGTTTGTTCAGTTATCAGGTGACAGAGTCCTGCTGCTGGGGAACATCAGTGGAGTGAGTCCCACCAGTGACCCGAAGTGACAACGTGAGTCACCTCAGAGACAGGGGGGAAAGACACCTTAGAATTTATCAAACCAGAGAAAACAAAGCTTTTCTTAAAACTGTGCACATTTGAGGGGGAAAGGAGTCCTGTGGGGCAGCAGAGCTGGGACAGACGGGCCCTGGGTGGCCCCTGCTCCTGTTCCAGCTGCAGGAACTCACTGGGGGCTCCAAACAAACCACTTCTTTCCAACAAACTCACCCAGATTTCTGTTGTAAAGGGGAGACCACAACATTTGACTAAAGGTGGGGTCCCTCCTGCAGAAAAGCAAATCACCGAGTCCAGGGACCATCATGGAAACCTTTCCCTGCTGTCCCCAAAGTTATGGACCCTCAAGGTTGGCAACTCGTTGACTTCAAAGGAATGATGACAATTCCCTGTCCACCCTTCCCATCCTGTGACCAGAAAATTATCAACTCATGGATTTCAAAGGAATGATGACAATTCCCTGTCCACCCTTCCCATCCTGGGACCAGAAGATCACCCCTTCCACAGTCACATCCCCCTCTACAAACCCCACCTTCCATCCCAGCTCCTCTGTGCTCTCTGAACACTGGGGCTTGTTTTGAACCACCTGCTGATGGAGCTGGAGATAAACCCGAGGCAGAGGAAAGGAAAAGGGATGCAGTGCCAAGTTTTCCCCCCCTGTGGATCCACACCTGGGCTCTGAGCCCAAACCTGCCCCTCCTCAGCTGCTCCACCAGGAGCTCCTCCTGCAGGGCCAGCACAGCCGGGGGGGATCTGCCTGCTCTGTGCCTGCCTCCTCTCACCTCCCCAGAGCACAGGAGCTGACAGGGCTCCTGGGGGAATCCTGCCAGGAATGTTTCCAGCCAGGCAGTGGGGCTGTGGGCAGGGAACCAGCAGTTGGAGTGCTGGGGGATTCTCCCACAGCCCCAAACCACCCGGCCCTGCTGGTGGCCAGAAAGGGCTGAACGGAGCAAACACGGAGGAAAACCCGGATTTCCCCCTTGGTTTTGCTGCTCCCAACGACTCCAGCAGTGGAGTCACATCAGGAATTAAAGAGGAGCTGCTGCTTTGTTGCTTTTCCTCCCGGTGTTCCTCGGGAATGGCTGAAATGAGAGTTCCCCCTGCTGGACACTGCCCGTCCCGAGCGGGCTGTGGAGCCGGGGGAAAGCAGGAGAGAGGGAATCTCTGCACAACTTCACGCTTTGTGCTTGCAGGGCTTTGTCTGAGGCCCTTCCCAAACTCACCTCCCTCCTCTGCCACCTCTGCTGGGGCAGGAGCAAAGCACCACCTCGGCCACTTCCTTCTTGGAATAAGCAAAGCAGGACTTGGCAGCAGGAGCTAAAGATCCCTTTGCCCAGCCTGGATTGCTGCAGGATCTGAACTCCAGTGTCAACACTTGGGCCATCACTCATCTCTGGAGGGCAGAAAGCGCTTCCTGACACTTCACCCAAACTGCAACTTCCGCCTCTGAAGGACACTGGAGCTGTTTATGGAATGAAACGGAGCCAAGGAACTATCAAACACAATTATCCCCCTGCAGAAGGGCCTCCCCCACACGGGAGGGGGGGGGAAAGCAGGGAGGGAGAGACTTCCAGGAGCAGCTCAGGGAAGAGATCAAGGTCCCAGCTGGAGGGACGAGAGGCCAAAGCCCCGAACAGATGGAGAGCAAGAGGCAGCTGCAGGAACAGCCTTTCATGTGCAAAGTTTGCCCCTTGGAGAATCCCACTCTGGAGCATCCCTGGATAACAACTCCTCCCCTCCGGAGCAGGGATGCTGTTCATTAACTAGGGCCCAATTAAGCAGGGCCCTGTAATTAACTGCTGTCCCCTCAGCTGGGCAGCTCTGGCAGCAGAAGGTCCTGGCTGGGGGGGCAAGAAAGAATTTGGGCCCCCTGGTTAAACAGGTTCCCTGGGAAGCCCCAGGAATTCCGGTGTGGAAGGGCTGGGATGAAGGACATCGGGATCTCCCAATGGATGAACGTCCCACCGGCTGCTCCAACTCCCTCATGGAAAACCACACGGCCAGGGGGGCTTTTCTCCAACCTTTAATCCAGGGATCACTCCAGGCCACGCCAAAGAGCTCACGGAGTTCTGGGCTGAACCCCAAACCAACCGGAATCAAAAGTTCGGGAGGAGTGGCCATTGGCTGTTTTTCTTTAATAAAGATATGAAGGATTTGTGGGTTTTGTCCTGTTAAGGCAAGAATTTCCTGCTGCTGCTCGGCTCCGATTACAGAAAACCAACGGGAAACAAAAGCTCAATTACGCTCCAAATTAAAGTGTTACATCTGTAGGACAATTCAGAATCAAAAAACTGAAACAAACCAACAAAAGATTCCACACAGTCTCCTCCTGATTCCCTCTCCTGAGTCCAGTTGAACAGATCTTGAGGTACAAGACAATAAATTAAAAGTTCATTCTGTCTGCAGGGATCAACCCACCGACCAACCACCTCCTCAGTGCGACGTTTTCTTCACTCCCTTCCCGAATTTGGCATCGAGGCCGAGCCCTGCAAAGACACAAAACGAGCCCCGTGCACCGAAAAATGCTTTGTGTTCCTCCAACAAGGAATTTGGGGGAAAAGAAGCAGCCTGAGAGCCCCCAGACTGAGGGTGTTTGGGCACCCCCGGGGTGGGGGACACACCGAAGGGCACTGGGAGCGCCGGGGCCACGGCACTCGAGGCCTGGGGGTAACACAGGGAGCCTGACAGAGGGAGCTCAGGGATCTGCTTCCCAGACTTACCCAGGAACACCAGGATCGTCCCCACCCACTGCATGGGGCTGATGGGGTTGGCAAACAGCACGACCGAGGCCAGGATGGTGAAGAACTTGCGGGTGGTGGTGACGATGGAGCAGGTGAGGGGCCCGAAGTACACCACGGTCATGAAGATAAAAGTCTGGGGGCAGCAAACAGGGGCTGTTTGTCCCCAGCCCCAGGAACAGGACACCAGGGATGGTGTTTTCAGGGAAAAGCCGAAGGATCTTCTCTCCAATCCCGACTGTTTGCACCCGAACTCAAATCGGTTTTACAGAATCCCGGGATGGTTTGGGTGGGAGATGATCCAGTTCCACCCCATCCCATGGGCTGTGCAGGGCCCAGGCCCCCCCCAGGGCAGCCCAGGGTGGTCCAGCCTCACTCCAAGAGCCAGCCCAGGATGTGGGGAGCAGGGCAGGAGCACTCACCTGCCCCAGGGCGCTGGTGAGGCCGAACAGGAGGATGTTGGAGATGATGCTGGGATAACGTTCCGTGAAACTCAGGAACTCCCAGAGCTCCCCAGTGAACAGGATCCCTGGAAGACACACCAAGATGGAAAACCCTGAACTCGGGGGCCCAAAATGGCACGTGGTGCAATTTCAGTCTGTGCTCAGAGCCCCGAGGGGAGCTACGGAAGGCAGGGAGTAAATTCCAAAGTGGAAAACAACGGGAGAAAAAGCAATCACCTCCCTGGTTAATTAATGAAAGGAGCAATCGTTAACTACAGATCAAATTCCAACAACACAGCGACTAATTAGAAGGGCTGCAGCCTGATCATCAAATCACGGAATGGGTTGGGCTGGGAGAGACCTTAAACTCATCCAGTCCCACCCCGTGCCACAGGCAGGGACACCTTCCACTATCCCAGGTTGTCCCAAGCCCTTTCCAGCCTGGTTGGGGCTCTGGTGGGCACTGGAAGTCTCTGGTGGGCACTGGCAGAGCTGCACTGAGCAACCCCCCCTCTCACACACAGACCAACAAAAACCCCAAACCAAAGCACAAGGGGTTTTTCCCCAAAAAGGCCTGTTTTTGGAGCTCAGGGTGAGGGTGAGCCTGGGCTGGGGCTGTGCCCTGGGCTCTGGGCAGGGGCTCCTTACCCGCCCCCAGGAACAGGGTGGACCAGAGGTTGACGTTGAGCATCATGTGGTTGGAGCCAGTCTGGTAGTGAGCCCTCATGTGGTCCTGGGACACCCCCGTGAGCCCGTCCAGGGTCAGCGACAGCAGCTGGGCAGGGAGACAAAACCTCCCCTGGTTGGTCCTTCCCACAGGGAAAACCTCATTGTCCCCCTTTTCCACGGCAGCTCCCAAGCAGGAACTGATGGAAAAGGAGTTTGGTGCCTCAACACCTGAGCTGGGGGACAGGCACGGACCCCAGCACAGCTCAGAGCCCCCTCACACCCCCCTGCCCTCCTGAGGCACTGGGAGCTGGGAATCACACCTGAATTCCGGGATTTGGGACAGGGGAGCTGGGAAGCACACCTGAATTCTGGGATTTGGACAGGGGAGCTGGGAAGCACACCTGAATTCCGGGATTTGGGACAGGGGAGCTGGGAAGCACACCTGAATTCTGGGATTTGGGACAGGGATGCTGGGAAGCACACCTGAATTCCGGGATTTGGGACAGGGGAGCTGGGAAGCACACCTGAATTCCGGGATTTGGGACAGGGGAGCTGGGAAGCACACCTGAATTCTGGGATTTGGGACAGGGGAGCTGGGAAGCACACCTGAATTCTGGGATTTGGGACAGGGGAGCTGGGAAGCACACCTGAGTTCTGTATTTAGCGCACAGGTCCAGGTGAGCTGCACACCTGAGTTCTGGGTTTGGCTCCCTGGGGCACAGGTGAGCTGTAACCCCCCCAGGTCCCTCCCTGCCCGGGTGCCCCCAGCACTCACCAGCAGCAGTTCCCCGTAGCCAAAGACGTGGTCGTCGCCCCCGGCCCCCTTTTTGGGCTTGTACAGGAACAGGGCCACGCCCGCCACGATGAGCAGCACGCACAGGTACTTGGCTGGGGGGTACTTCTTCCTCAGCAGGGTCACCCCTAAGAGCATCACTGCACACAAGGGACGTCACAACCCGCTCCTAAAACCCCTCACGGCGTTAAACCCCCGGAAAAGCCACTCCTGGAAGAGTCACTGCGCAGAAGGGACGTCAAAAACTGCTCCTGAGACCCCTCATGGGGGTTACATCCCCAAAGAAGTCCCTCCTAAAGCCGTAACTGCAGAGAAGGGACGTCCCAAACTGGTCCCAAAGCCCCTCCTGGGAGTTAAACCCGGCCCAGCAGAGCAGCACAGGGACAGAGCGGGGAGATGGATCTGCCAGGGAGAAATCCCCTCAAACACAGGAAACAGGGAATGTGCTCACCTGGAATGGGCTTACAGGACTTGCCCAGGACCTGGAAAGGAAAGACAAGGATTGACTATCCCCATCCCATCACCTGGGATGGGAGAGAGCCTGGATAAGGGATGAGCACCAGGACACCCGGACACAGGACACACCAGGGACTTCCAAAATAGCACAGCAACCCCCCCCAGCTCAGGGTGATTAATTACCAGGGTGACTGATAATTAACAGTGAAGGTTCCTCAACCACCCCAAGCCTTCCACCAGCAAATTCCCAACATTTCTAGGGATTGCTCTTCCCTTTCTGGATCACCTGAGCTCTCCCAAGCCCTGCCTAACACGGAAGTGGCCACAGAAAAGGGGGAATCAAACCCCTGGTGTCCCTTCCCAGCCCGTGCTGTGTGATCCATACAGAGAGCAGGAAATACTGAGTGGTCCATAAATAGATCTGCAAATACTGTGTGATCCAAAACAGATCAATAAATACTGTGTGATCCATATAATCCTTACATAGATCCATAAATACTGTGTGATCCAAAACAGATCAATAAATACTGTGTGATCCATATGATCACAGTGATCTGAGGGGTCCCAACGGTGCGGGGTGATTTATGGGGTCCCATGCGTGTGGGGTGGGGATTTGAGGGGTCTCACCCGTGTGGGGTGGGGATTTGAGGGGTCTCACCCGTGTGGGGTGGGGATTTGAGGGGTCTCACCCGTGTGGGGTGGGGATTTGAGGGGTCTCACCTGTGTGGGGTAGCTGACGAACTGCAGGGCCGAGTTGCTGGACACCATGGCCCCCAGGTAGGACAGGGAACAGGCGCCGTAGAGCCACCCCCGCGTGCGATCCACCCGCGCCCCATCCACGAGCCGGATCACTGGGAACACACGGACACCTCAGCGGGATGGGGCACCCCCGGGTCCCCCCGGGCCGGGCAGGGCCACGGGAGAGCCCCCCCTGCACCCTGGGAAGGGCCGGGGCACTCACGGAGCTTGGCGAAGGCGGCGTTGATGACGCACTGGATGAACACGAGGGTCAGCGCGAACCTGAACTTCTCCTGCTGAGCCCCCTCCCCGTAACGGCCCCGAGTGCTGGGGGGGACGGACAGTGAGACACACGGACAGACAGGGGACAGCGGGACAGAGGGACAGGCAGAGCAGGGACAGACAGCGGGACAGGGAGGGGACAGCGGGACAGACAGAGCGGGGACAGAGCAGGGACAGACAGCGGGACAGGGAGGGGACAGCGGGACAGACAGAGCAGGGACAGCGGCGGCTCCATCCCGGGGCAGCTCCCGGGAACACGGGGAGACTCCGCGCGGGACCCGCCCGGGGGTGGCCCCGGCTGTCCCCCCGCGTCCTCCCCCGTCCCGTCCCGTGTCACCCCCGTGCCGGTGTCCCCCTGCCCCACGTGTGTCCCCCATTCCCGGGGCCCCTCCGGTCCTGTGTGTGACCCCGGCCCCTTGTCCCTCCCAGTCCCGTGTCCCATCCCGGTGTGTCCCCATCCTATGTATCCCATCCCGTGCCCCGTCCCATGTTCCTCCCCATCCCGGAGTGTCCCATCCCGGAGTGTCCCATCCCGTGTCCCATCCCGTGTCCCCCGTCCCGCGCCCCCGCCGTGCCGCACATGCTCTCCTGCAGGATGCCGTAGCAGAAGTAGCAGGCGAACACGCCGAGGCAGCAGAGGGGCAGGCGGAGGCGCTCGGGGATCGCGGGGGTCGCTCCCATGTCGGGCTCCGGCAGCTCCAGCGCCACATCCCGGCCGGCCCCGGGCGGCCTCATCGCCCCGCGCCCGCGCCGGGCGCCCTCCGCGCTGCCGGACCCGCCGCGGGCCCCGCGCGGGGGCCGAGAGCGGCAAAACCCGCCGGGGCCGCGCGGGGGCTCCGCGTCGAGGCTCCCCGACCCTGCCCCGGGGCGGCGGCGGCCGCGGATCCCCCGCAGAGCCCCCGCGGAGCCCCCCCCGGGACAGGCACCGTGCGGGGCAGCCCCGCGCTGAGGGGACCTCGGGGCGGCGCGGCGCGCGCGGGGACGCCACGGGATGTGGAGCGCGGCGATTGGCTGAGGGGAGGGGGGCGGGGCCGAGGGGAGGGTGGGGATTGGTGGGAAGCGCCGGGGAGGCCACGCCCACCACGCCGGGTTTGCCGCGCAGGTCCCAAAGCCCGGACACGGGAACGGACCGGCCGGGGCAGCGGAGCCGGGGGAGCCCCCAAATCCTCCAGGGGAGTCCCAGCGCCCTCCCAGTGACCCCAGAGCCCTCCAGGGGAGCCCCAACCTCCTCCTCATAAAGCTCAGCACCCTCCCAGTGCCCCCCAGCGCCCTCCCAGTGCCCCCCAGCCCAGCCCAGGCTGTGGGCTGTCCCTGCCCTCACCACCTGCCCCCAAACCCCATCCCTTAAATCCCAGAGAAGTCCTTTGGATGCCTGAAGTGTTTATTTTGTTTCCTTGGCACCAGCATTCCCAGCATTTGCAAAAAATAACCCCCCAAACCCCCCCCTGTGACCACCAGGCAGGAGCTGCAGGGGGAAGGTTCCTCTTCACAGGATGTAAAACACAAACCTCAAATGGCTGCAAAAATAAGTGTCTTTGGAAGAAAATAAAAGAGTTTCTACACCAGGAACGAGAAAAGCAGCAGCTCCAAAACATCCCAGAGCCCCTGGAACAGGACACAGGTCCCAGCTCCTGCTGGGAAGAGGCTCCACAGTCCCTGCTCTGTGTGAGGGAACTCCAAAGGCATCACAGGGTGGAGCTGCTGGATGTGGCTCCTGATCCTGCACAGAGTCCAGCCCTGGGGAGGCCGAGGGTCCTGGATCCCCCTGGATGAGGCCAAAGGTCTTGGAACACCCCTGGATAAGGCTGAGGGTCCCAGACCTCTCCTGGACGAGGCTGAGGGTCCCAGATCCCTCTGGATAAGGCCAAGGGTTCTGGATCCCCCTGGATGAGGCCAAAGGTTCTGGAATCCCCTCAAATGGGGCTGAGGGTCCCAGAACCCCCCTGGATAAGGCCAAGAGTCCTGGATCCCCCTGGATGAGGCTGAGGGTCCTGGACCTCTCTTCACCCCCAGCCCCATCCAGGCTCTTGGCTCAGGAAGTTTCTTTGGGAAGCAGCAGGATCTGTGTGTGCTGCCAGGTCCCACTTCCATGCCCTCTCCCTGCAGCACCAGGCTCCTGGAAGGGCAGGGAAGACAGGGAGAGCAGCTCAACGTCACCCTCAGCCACACAAAGTCCAGGAGATCCATGGAGGCTCCAGGTTTGGAGCAGGGAAGGGGAGGCACAGCCAGGAATCTGCTGCTCTCCCGCCCTCCCTGAGAGACCAGAGCTGTGCAGGGACAATTCCAGCCTGGCACTTCCAAAGGCAGCTCCAGCCCCTTCTCCCCAGTCCCAGCAGGGACAGGAGGTGCTGGGAAGCCCCACCTGAGTCTTCCCAGCTCCCCCTCATTCCCAGAGGAGCAGGGATTTGCCTCTGCTCTTCCCCCAGGGAACAAGGACAATCCAACCCGGGAAAGTGCTTTGGACTGGGGAGGCTCCAGGAACGAGCCCCCCGGCAGCGAGGGATCCACGGCACGTTGTCCTTCCCAGTCTCTGCCATCCTGGGGGGAATTCTGCCCCCATTCCCGATCCCAGGGGCTGCCACATCCCACCTCCAGGGCACTGAGGAGCCGGAGGTGCCGGTGCCGCCCTTCCCAAGGGATTCACGCCACGAGGGAGCTCTGGAACACGACGCCCTCCTCGGCCTGGCCGCGCTTCCAGGGCTCGCAATTCCGGGCGGGAGCCGAGGGGGCCGGGGGGGGCTGGCAGGAGGGGAAGGGGCCCGTGCCAGGGCCAGGGGGAGCCGGGAAGCCCCGGAAGAGGAATCCCACATTCGGGAAGAGCGGCTGCACCAGGCGAACGGGGCAGAAGGCGGAGCCTGAGGGGGTGAAGTGAACCTTGTTCTTGTCCGGGCAGGAAGGCTGGAAAGGCTGGGATGGGCTGGAGCAGCTGAGGGGACACAGAGGGCACGGATTAGGGACAGCAATTCCCAAGGGAAAGGCTCAGCAGGCACAGGGAGAACAGGGGATGTGCCAAGAGCAGCTGCTGCTGGGAGCGGGTACCCAGGGGCTGCTGGCCTTGAATCCCACTGATCTGGGGGAGATCCCACTGATTTATAGGAGATCCCACTGATTTATAGGAGATCCCACTCACTTATAGGAGACCCCATTGATTTATAGGAGATCCCATTGATTTATAGGAGACCCCACTGATTTATAGGAGATCCCACCGACTTATAGGAGATCCCACCGATCTTCAGGAGATCCCATGGATTGATTTAGGGGAGAACCATCTCCCCCTCAAGAGGCCTGGGAAGTGCAGGAATCCCGGGGTCCTCCCAGCACTCCTCCCTCCAGCTCCGGTCCCCAGGCCCCGAGCAGCCTTTTCCATGGGAGCCTTTTCCCCCATCCCTGCTTTCCCAGGAGCCTCAGCTGCCCCTGCCCAGCATCCCATGGGATCATCCAGCATTTTCCAAGGGCCCCCCACACTCACAGGGTCTCCTCGAAGGCTCGGACTCTCTCGCAGCCCTCGGGAGGCTCCCGCTTGAACACGTAGCTGTGGTTGGGACGAGGGGAGGAGGCAAAGGCCAGCACTGGAGAAGGGCTGCTCCCCTCTGGGAGGGAAGGGAAAGAGGATTTGGAATAGTTTTCCAAAGAGGAATCCAACAGGGAACATGTTCTTTCAGACCCCCCAGGGCTGCAGGTTATGGAATGTTCAGGTGGAGAAGAGGCTGAGCTCTGCTCCCTGGAGCAGGGACAGGAGAATGGCTGGAGCTTTGTCAGGGGAGGGTTAGGATGGATATTATGGATTTTGGGAAAAGGTTCTTCCCCCAGAGGCTGGTTAGGCACTGGCCAGGCTCCCCAGGGCAGTGGGCACAGCCCCAAGGCTGCCAGAGCTGCAGGAGGGTTTGGACAATGCTCTGAGGGATGGGGGGAATTTTGGGGTGTCCTGGGCAGGGCCAGGGGTTGGGCTGGATGATCCCTGTGGGTCCCTCCCAGCTCAGGATATTCCCAAAGCCACATCCCAGCTCACAGCCTGGAAAGCACCCCCATGGAGGAGGGGAACTCCTGGAGCTGTAACTCCAAATTCCCAGGACTGTCTCCCACCTCAGCTCCACTTCCAGCCCATCCCACAGCCAGGGAGGAGCAGCCCAGGAGCTCTGCCCCCCCTCAGTGTCCCCAGATTTCCCAGCCCTTTTCCATGCTCACCTTTCTCCTTTGGCTCCGGCTGTGCCTCCGAGGGCCTTCCCGGGCTCTGCAGGGATGGGGAGGGGGACAGGGAGAGGCTGTTCCAGCTGCCACTTCCCGGCTCCAGGGCCAGGGGGGTGTCCAGGGGGGTGTCCAGGGGGTCTGGCTGGGCGGGCGCCGGCGCCCTGTGCCCGTCTGGGACATCCAGGATCTGGGAGGGAGCAAAGGATTAGAGGAGCAGGAAACCCCCTGGCACCTGGGAGAGCTTTGACCTGCAGGGCAGGAACTCTGTGGATCCTCGTGGATCCCTTCCCACTTAGGAGATTCTGTGATTCCATCATAAACCTGGACATGGGGACTTGTCCCCAGGGCTGAGAAACAGAACCAGGCAGAGCTCTAGGAGGGAAGGGTTTCCAGGAGAAGATTCCAGACAGTCCGTGACCTTCACTCACCCTCAGCAGCTCCTCATCTCCCTGTTCCCTCACAAACACCTCCTCCAGCTCCTGGTTCAGCCCTTCCAGGCTCCTGTGCAGGCAGGGGCTGAGCCTCAGGACGGGACATGGAGAAGGGAAGCCCGAGGGAGAGTCCTGCAAGAGTCGGGAATGCCGGGAGTCAGAGCTGGATCTGCACACCCTCAGCTCCCAGGGCTCAGCCAGAGCCCCCCGGGCTGGGGAACACTGACAGGACAGTCCTGTGAACTCCCTGAGTGCCGAGGAAATCCTGGGAATGTGCTGGAGAGGAGGAGAAATCCTCCCTCCTCGGGCACGAGAGGCCTGAGGAAAGCACAGCCCAGGAGGTTTGGGGCCCTTCCCAGGGGGATTTTGCTCTGCCCCTCACTGGGATGGGGGGACAGGGAGCAGGGGGGGTGTGGATGTACCTGGAGTGATCCACGGAGCGTGTGATCCCCTGGGAATGGGCAGCTCTTCTCCCTCTCCTTCCCATTCCTGCCGCTGAGCTTTGTGCGCTGGAGCTGCTGCTTCAGCTTGGCAATCTGGGACACTCGGGATCAGTGGGGGAGCAGGAGACCAGGGACAACAGCCCCAAACAACCCCCCCAAACAACACCTTCCCCAAACCAACCCCCCCAAACCAACACCTCCTCAAGCCAACACCTCTCCAAACCAACCCCCCCAACCCACACCTCTCCAAACCCATCCTCCTCCTCCCCCTTGGCCCCTTTGGCAGTGCCAGAGCAGACACAATCCCAGGAGCAGCAGCTCCAAGGATGGGCCTGGAGTTCTCCCAAGGCCTCGTCCCCCTGTGCTGCTGCAGCGTGGGCAGAGCTGTTCCGTGGTGGATCCGGGTTATCCTCCACCCAGAGGGAGGATTCCCTGCTGGACCCACTCCCAGCACCCTGAGCCGCCCCAGAGGGAAGCCACAAATCCCCCTGCACCTGGATCCCGGGGTCAGGGCTGGGACAAGGGCTGAGGGCTCGTTCCCAAAGCTCTCCTGGCTCCCTCCCTCCCTCCCAGCCCGGGGTCTCCGTTACCTCCCGCCGGTGCTCGGAGCCGCCCCTGGCACTGCCCGGCCCTGCCGCCGCCTCGGGCCACGACTGCGGGGTCTGGGGCGAGAAACAGGGCTCAGGACACTCACAGGGCTGAGGACAATCACAGGGCTGAGGACAATCACAGGGCAGGGCCTCAGAGGCTGCTCCTGGAGCCTGCAGGCGCTGGGATCACCCCCTGCCCTGGGCCCGTCTCCCCTCGTCAACACGAGGCTCAGTAATCGTGGAACTGGGGAATGGGTTGGGCTGGAGGGACCTCAGAGCACAGCCAGGTCCTGCCCCAAGGGCAGGGACACCTTCCACCAGCCTGGCCTTGGACACTGCCAGGGATGGGGCAGCCACAGCTCCTCTGGGAAATCCACCCTCCCAGGGAGGAATTTCTTCCCAATATCCCACCTAATCCTACTCTCAGTTCAAACCCATTCCCTGTGTCCTGTCCCTCCATCCCTTGTCCCAGGTCCCTCTCCAGCTCTCCTGGAGCCCCTTTAGGCCCTGGAAGGGGCCCTGAGGTGTCCCTGGAGCCTTCTGTTCTCCAGGGGAACATCCCCAGTTCTCCCAGGGATCCCTGAGATCATCTCCATGGCCCCAATGTACATTTAAGACATTCCCATGTTTATTTGGGCCAGTTTGGCCGGATTTGTGCCTGCTGGGAAACTGGAGCTCATGGACACAGGGCAGGAGAGCTGCCCCAAGGCAGCAGCTCAGTCACCACAGTGAGACAAGGGACACCAACCCCCCCTCTGGGGACACTCCTGCCCCTGTGACACAGGGATCAGAGGGATCAGGCACTTCCTGCACGGAGACACCGAGGGGAAAAGCCTCCCCCAGCTCTGGGAACACCCAGCTGGCTGGGAGGCCTCAGTTCCTCAGTTCTGGAGCTCCAGGGTGAACCCAATCCCGGGCTTTGGGCTGCAGATGGAGCACAGAGGGAGCAGCTGCCTCCCCCAGCTCCCAGCTCCCAGCCCCCAGCCCCAGGACTGGCAGCTCTCCCTGTGTTCCCAAAGAGCAGCTCTGCTCTGCAATCCATGGAATCAGGGCTGGGAATGTGATCAGCAAAGGGAGTGAACTTCCTTCCCTGCCCTCGGCCCTCTCCGGGCTCGGAGCAGTCCCCAGGCACATCTTACAAAGTTATTTCTATTGCCATATAAAGCCAGTCCTGGAGAGGGAAGAGGCCTCCAACCCAGGCCCAGGGAACTCCAGCTCTGTCCCCTCAGCCGGAGCTGAGCAGCACAAAGGATAAAAACCCTTCCCAGAACGTTCCCGCTGGGAATTCCCGCCCGTGTCCCTACCTGGGTGGCTTTGTCCCTGGTGCAGGGGGGGGTGTCCCTGTCCCGGGGCCACTGTCCCAGCAGGTACGAGCCCAGGAGGGGGTCCAGGGAGCAGGTCCGGCGGGAACGGCCCGGCTGCTCCAGGGCCATGGCACAGGGAACACTGGCTGGGAGAGAGAGAGAGAGAGGGACATGAGCTTCCAGAGCCATTGGAACACCAAACAGCTGCACTGGAATAACGGGATACAGGCACAGGGAACACTGGCTGGGAGAGAGAGAGGGACATGAGCTTCCAGAGCCATTGGAACACCAAACAGCTGCACTGGAATAACGGGATACTGGCACAGGGAACACTGGCTGGGAGAGAGAGAGAGAGAGGGACATGAGCTTCCAGAGCCATTGGAACACCAAACAGCTGCACTGGAATAACGGGATACTGGCACAGGGACCAGCCCAGGGCACTGCAGGGACATGGGCACACACAGCCTGGTTTTGGGAATCAGGGTCCTGCTGCTCCCATCGTGCCCAGGGAATTCCCACCCTCGCACCAGCAGCACTTCCCTGCCAAGGGAATGGAGAGGTGCTGCTCCCAAAGGTGCTGCTCCCAGAGGTGCTGCTCCCAGTCCGGGCTGGAAAACGAGGAGTGGGAACCCCACTGGAGCAGGGTGGGCTCGGGGTGAGGGGCACCCTCCACGTGCTCCTCTGCCCCACAAGTGTTCCTGGTTATCCCGGAGGGAGTGTGCACACAGATCCAAGAGACTGTTCCCACTGATCCCAGACTGTTCCCACTAATCCCTGAGGGATTATTCACACTGATCCCTGAGGGATTGTTCCCACCGATCCCAGATCGTTCCCACTGATCCCAGACTGTTCCCACTGACCCCAGGGTTGCTCCTCTAAGCTCAGATTTCCCTGCAGCCCTTGGGTGGCTCCACGAAATCCCCATCAGACATTCCAGTGGATCACCTGGGATTCCTTCCCATGGAGTGGAGCTGCTCCTGAACAGTTTGGGTGGTTTGAGGGAAGCCCTGAGGGCTGGGGAGGGAGGAGGAGGAGGAGGAGGAGGAGGAGGCAGCTGGAGTGTCCCTTTCCCAGCCCGGGCTCTCCCAGCCCTCCAGGGAGCCCCAGTTGCCCCTTGGCCACGAGCCCCAGGGTTGGGGCCCTTTTCTGTGCCTGGGCCTCTGGAGCTGCTGGATAACAGGCCCAGCCCTATCTCCAGGAGCCACTTGGCCGCTCCCAAGGCCCTGGAGCAGCCCCAGACCAGAGCAGGAAATGGGGTTAAAAGGGACAAGAGCTCAGTGCTGGAGGTGGAAATTTTCCTTATCCCTCCTCTTTCCCAACCCACGAGCTCAGAACTTCCTAAACAGCCTCTCCAGCCCAGCCCAGCCCAGCCCCTGAACCAAGAAAAAAGAGTCTCCAGCAAACTCTTAAACACTTCCAGGGCCCCTTTTCCTCAGGAATCCTCCTCGGTGCTGAACCAAAAACGATGCAAGGAGAAAATAAAGTTCCCATTTCTACTTTCCTGACAGTTGTGAAAGTTCCTTCCTTCCCCCCCGGATTTCACAGACCTTTCAGCACCAGAGTTCTCAGAAATGTGGAGACCTGCTGTTCAGCCCTGACACTCGTGGAGTGTGGCCCTGAAGGGCCATCCTAAACTGATCAAGTATCAAATAACACACTCAAATATAACGAAATATAATTTAACCATGATGGGCTGAGCCTTGGCCAGGTAGGGAGGCTTTCCAGGGATTCTGTCATGCCAAGGTGTATCCAGTGGGTCTGGATTCAGTTTTCAGCTTCCTGGCTCATCATGAGCTTTAAGATTTCATGGAGAGAAAGCTCCTTTCACCCCAAGTGCAAGAGAATTTACATCCAGTGGCAATGCTGGGGTAAAACAACCAGCGGGTGGGTGGAGAAAAAGAACAATTCCCACGGGAAGGGGCTTTAGGAAGGAGAAGGAACCTGGAATTTACAGCTGGATGCAAAGGTAACACACACAGCCCTCCTCAGTGCCCTCAGGCTCTGCAGAGGATGGGCTCCAGGTCCCTCTCAGTGTTTGAGCCCAATAATCCCTCTGCCTAAAGCAGCAGATTTGTTTGGGAGCGCAGGGAAATCCCCCTGGCAGGCCAGGATTGCCCAGCCCAGCCCAGTGTCCAGGAGTTCAGAAACAACTCCAGAGCTGAAATCCTGCCAGGGAGAGGCCAAGCTGGGGTTAAACCACCCTGGCCCTGCCAAAAACACCCCAAAAAGTACCTGCTGTCCCCAAACCCCAGCCCTCAAACCCCCCAGGAAGGAGCCAAACCCCGAGGGAAAGGGATCCCGTGGGACAGAGCCCAGCTTTGCTGCTCCACCCCAGAGGGCATCACCAGTGGCCTGGGAGCACAAGGGAAGGAATTCCAGGCTTTGTAATCACGTCCCTGGTTAGCGGAGAACAGCTGGAAGGAGCTTCCCAAAGGACACAGCATCTGGAGAGATCCCTGAGGGAATTCCTGGGGGACACCAGCAGTTCTCCAATGTTTTTTCAGGGTTGTTTGGGAGAACCAGAGCTGAACTCTTCACCTTCCACTTAATTCCTTCCAAGTTTGGCTTTGAAATGCCAAAACCATCTGAGGAATTCCTGCACCATCAAAGCCCTTCGGGGGAAGTTTCCTAAATCCAGGCTGATGGGAGGCACAGCTCCGGTGGGATCTCCAAGCCAGGCCACCCCCTCCCCATGGACCCAGGCTGGCTGGGTGGCTTTACCTCTGGAATTCAAGGGACAACCAGGAAAACGCTCTCAGGAGCAATGGGAGAGGGTTAGGAACAAGCAAAAACTTGTTCAGACTTTAGATTTTGAGGAGCTGCTCACTCAGATCCTGGAGAATTGAGGAGCTCCCAGGATTCCCCATCACCTGGATCAGGAGTGAAGCCCCAGGGAACACACAGAGCTCATCCCAATCCCAGAGAACTCCCAGAGCTCATCCCACCTGTCCCAGCAGCAGCTCCCCTGGACAAAGGGATCCCAGGGATCTGCCCCTGAGGAGGATCCAGCTCTCTCCCATCCCTGCAGACAGAAGGATTTCAAACCCACCCCTGACCCCCAGGATTCCCAAACAGCACATCCAGGCCTTTTCAACCCCCCCTGGAGCTCCTTCCCAGCACTCCCAGCTTCTCCTTTCAGGGAGGCCCTTGGAGAGGCTCAGCAGCTGCTCCTCAGCTCAGTGGGGTCCTGCGTTCCCAGAGCAGCCCAGGATCAGCTCAGGATCAGCCCTTATCCAAACCCACCGGGATCCCCGGCCCTGGAAGGGCTCAGGCAGCAGAGCCAAACCAGGAAAGATGGGATAAATCTCAGCATTTCCATGCTGAGCTCCCAAAAGGAGCAGGAGTGTGAGGAGACAAATTCCCATCATCCCAGTTTTGGGTTCAATCCTGCCCAGTTTGTGCTGTAGCTCCCACACAGTCCGGGAGCACATGGAAGGGAGGAGAGCAATGGGAACTCCAACCCTTCCAGAGCTGCAAGGAAACCACTGGGATGAGCAAGAGGAAAAATCCAAGCTCCCAGAGCCTGCACAGCGAGGCACAGAGCCAGGAAGGAATGGAGCTCCGGCCACTTTGCCCTGGGAAAGCTGCATGGGATCCATGGAACTCTGGAGCAGGGACAGCCCAGAGCTCCAACAGAGCCCAGGGATGACAGCCCGGCTCCCATTCCTCCGGGATTTCCTCGATTTTCTCTGCACAGCAAAGTAATTGCCCAATTAACAGCAGCTTCACCTCGATTTCGCCGAGAGGGGGAGGCTGGCACTCGAAAGGATTATTTCATTAACTCGTTTCAAGTGTAAATTGAGCAGAAAGCTTTTTAACAGCTCCTCTGATCGATCCCAGCCCTGCCAGCGGCAGGAAGGAGGGAGCCGGGAGCAGGGACACTTCGGGAAGGGCCATTCATTCTCCCGGGGGAATTCCCAGCAGAGCAGATTAAACACCCCCTGCACCGAGCGAGGGACCAGCACCGGGCAGACGCCACCGAATTCAGCTGGAGAGATCTCTCCCCCTGTCCCACAGCTCTGATCTCACGTTTAACCCCAAAAGCGTTTCACTGCTATTTTAATACTCCGTGAGATAACGAGCAGCCAAGCAGCAACCCCGCATCCAAGAGCAGCCCCGGGAACTGCCAAAAGTAACACACACACACAGAGAGAGAAAAGCCAAAGACTATTATTAGGCCGCTAAAAAGTTATATTTAAGCATTCCTGAAGCGGTCAGGGAGAGCTCAGAAGTGCAATTAGGGACGAATTACCATCGGGGCAAACCGAATTCCTGCTTTTTATCGAGACGGATCAGCTGCACAAAACACAGGGCTCGGGTTTTTGGGGCTTTTTTGGTGAAACCGCCTCGAAACGGGCAACTCCTTGTCAGGGGAGAAGCAGCAGGGGCTCGGTGCCCGCCCTCGGGGGTCCCAGCTCAGAGCCCGGGCCCGTCCAGGGGGGCCGAGAGTCCCCTCGCTCCCTGTCCCTGTCCCCGCAGCTCTGCCCTCGCTTCTCCCGCTTCCCTTTCGCGTCCACCCCCGCACCATCACTGCGGAGAAGCCTCGGGGGCACACGGATCGCTGAGCCCGGCCCTGCCCGCACAGCCCCGGGACCCCCCGGTCCGGTGCCGGGGGCGGAGGGGCCGTTTCGGAGCCCCCACGCTGGGGGCCAATCCACAACCCCCGGTGCTCTGCGGGTGCCGGGGCCACGCGGGTCCCCCCGTTACCTGCGCGGGCCCCGTCTCCGCGGCGCTGCTGCAGTTGGAAGGGGACGGTGGCGCGGAGCGGGTGCAGCCCCCCGGGGCCGGCGCGGCCGGAGGGCGCAGCACCCACTCCCGCCATGGCCCGCCCGCCCGCCGCTCTGAGCCCCCCGCAACGCTCGCGCCCCTTATGAGCGCTCGGGGGCGGGGCCTGAGGGCGCAGCGCGGCGCTCATTGGCTGCCCAGCTGCCGGCGCCCCGCCCACACCGAAGGGAAGCCAATGAGAGCGCACGGCGCGCTCCGCCTCGCACGCGCCGCGGCGGCGGCCAATCAGGACCGCCAGGAGGCGTCACTGCTGGCGGCAGAGCCAATCATAGAGAGAGGGGCGCGCGAAGCCACGCCCTTTGCCCCCCGCCCACAGCAGCGCCTCAGCCAATCAGCGCAGGGCAGAGCCCACGCGGTGACG